ATGTACAACCTAACCCTGGTCCGCCCAGTAGTAGTAGTCAGATCGCTATACTCCTGCTGATTTTAAATCTAGGTCTGGGTTGGGATTCATCCACTTAAATGTGCGCAGTCTTTTACCTAAACTAGATTTTGTCCGCATTTGGGCGAGCTCGACTGACGCTGATGTCATTGTTTTATCAGAGACGTGGCTAAATAAATCTATTTTGGTCTCTGAAATCTCCTTAAATGGTTACAATGTATATCGTACCGACCGACCTAATAAAGGTGGTGGCGTTGCCATTTATGTGAAGAATACGTTTAATGTAACCACATTGGTTTCCAAATCAATTAGTAAACAACTAGAATTATTAGCCTTAAATATCGAAGAGGCAAAGGGTCAACAGGTCATGGTGGTGGGCTGTTACAGACCCCCCTCAGCTGGCAAGGACTCCTTGTCTTCATTGGCAACACTTTTATCTCAACTAGACTACAAGGAAATAGTGCTACTTGGTGATTTTGGTTAACTACAGTGTCAGAGGATTTTAAAAACCTTTGTATCTCTTTGAATGTTACTCAGATTGTTGACAGTCCTACTCGCCCTAACATTAAGTCCCCTAATAAATCCTCCCTAATTGATCTCATTCTAACTAATGTTCCCTATAAATACTCATCTGTGGGAGTATTTGCAAATGATGTGAGTGACCACTGTGCTGTAGCCACAATTAGGGACACTAAGGTCCAAAAGGTTAAACCTCGCATTATTATTAAGAAAGACACAAAACATTTTGTGGAGCAGGGTTTTGTTCATGATCTGTTTGGGTTTGATTGGGGAAGAATCAATCTGTGTGCTGATGTTGAAACTGCATGGTCTTATTTTTATCTTGGTTTTATGGAGATCATTAGATAGACATGCACCCCTGCGTACATTTAGAGTGAAGGGACGAGATAATCCTTGGTTTTCTGCTGAACTGTCCAGTCTCCTGCATGAGAGAAACAAGGCCTGGGCAAAGGCTAGGAAATCAGGCTTAGAGGTAGAATGGCTTCGTTTTAGGCAGCTAAGAAATAGTTTCACTTCACAGGTCAAAAGTGCTAAATCGAAGTATTATCTGTCAGTTACCACAAAGAACCTGAATAATCCTAGAACATTTTGGAAAGCCATAAAATCGCTATCCACCGGTGAGATCCGAAATGAGCTACCTCCTTGCCTTACCACAGCATCTGGCTCTATATCGGACAGGGCCACCATGTTCAATTGTTTTAATGAGCATTTTGTGTCCTGTGGCTCTCTGTTTGATTATGTTACTAACTCTGCTACTGTGAACACCACAGTCTGTGACTCTGAAAAACGTGTTTTGGAAAACCCTTTCAGTTTTACTCCTTTTACTATTGAAGTCGTTCGTGAAGCCTTAACCAAGTTAGATCCTAAAAAACCGGCTGGTCCGGACAACGTAGAACCTTTCTTTTTAAAGATAGCTGCAGATTTTATTGCACCACCTCTTACTACTCTTTTTAACCTCTCCCTCAGCACGAAGACAATTCCAAAAGTATGGAAGTCAGCGTATGTCCATCCTCTACTAAAAGGTGGGGAGGTTACTTTATTAAATAATTATAGGCCCATCTCTAAATTGTCAGTTCTGGCCAAGGTTCTTGAACGCCTAGTGAGTGAACAGGTAAAGGTGTTTTTAAGTAACAATAACCTACTATGTAAACATCAGTCAGGTTTCAGAAAGCAACATAGCACCATCACTGCGACAATGAAAGTGGTGAATGATATTGCTAATATCAGAGTTGTGCAGCTCTATTTATTGATCTTTCCAAAGCTTTCGATACCGTCGATCATCAAATCTTGAAGCAGAGGCTACTCAGTATTGGCTTATCCAGCCATGCAGTGGGGTGGTTTGTGAACTACCTCTCTGAAAGGTCCCAATGTGTTTGATGGGCTCACTTCTGAGTGGTTAAACATTACAAATGGTGTACCACAAGGTTCTGTTTTAGTCCACTTATATATATTTTTTTAATATTATTCAGACGCAGCTCTCTGAGCTTAAGCTTCTTTTAAATGTGGATAAAACTAAGGTAATGCTATTTTCAAAAGCCAAAAAGACACCGGAGACAACTTTGGATATTGTTACTACGCAAGGAAAAGTACTCGAGGTGGTTACCTGTTATAAATACCTTGGTATCTGGCTTCATGATTGTCTCTCTTTTAAACTTCAGGTCAATAATCTGCTTAGGGTTAGGCTAGGTTTCTTTTTCAGAAACAAGTCCTGTTTCTCACTTGAAGCCAGGAAAATGCTAGTCTCTGTGACCTTTTTACCTGTGCTGGACTATGGTGATCTGATATATATGAATGCACCTGCCCATTACCTGATCAAGTTAGATGCCGCCTATCACAGTGCTCTGAGATTTGTTACAAACTGTAAAGCACTTACTCATCACTGTACCCTGTATGCCAGGGCAAGTCTGCCTTCACTGACTGTTCGGAGGCTCAGTCATTGGTACATATTCATCTATAAAGCCATGCTGGGTAAACTACCACCTTACATCTGCTCACTGATATCACAGAGAGTCGCAAGTAGCTATTGCCTAAGATCCCAGGATGTGTTTTTATTACATGTACCAAGTGCTAGGACTGTTTGAGGCACTAAAGCTTTTATGTGCACAGCTCCTCTAGCATTATGTTGTATGTGTCCTTTTTGTTTTCTGTTACATGTGTAACCAATGTGCGGCAGGTCTCCCTTGTAAAAGAGATCGTTGATCTCAATGGGATTTTTTACCTGGATAAATAAAGGCTACACACAAACAAAGAAATTGACAAACATTTAGTATAGTGTTTTTATTATATACAATCAGATTATTTCCTAGCATATGGACCAAACAAATCTACCTCTATAAGACATTGACCCTGTCAGAAACTCTCCCCAGGTCCACATATATGACGAGTGTGTTAGGCTTAGCCGCAGATTTATAATGACTCTTTTGTTAAGGCACAAAAGGAGGCATGATAATGATTTAATCCCATCCAATCTGAGCGGCAGATCTGCCTTCCTTCCATCCTACCTTTCCTCTCCAGACTCATTCTGCTGCAGCTTCAGTGGCAGATGGTGGATGAAAGAGGAAGCTGGGAGGAGCAGGGGAATGAGAACAGGTGGGGGTGAAAACTGAAGAAAAAGAAAGGGCACAGGGGTCAACTGGGGCAATAGAAAGGGGGAGGAAACGTACATATAGACTTGCAGAGGGAACGATCGATGGATGGATTTTTTTCCTTTACATTGTGCCTCCCTAAATCTAGTTCTGTTTTTGCCAGATGTCGACCAACTTTGTAAAAACGGAAAAAAAAAGTCTAGAATAAAGCTTGGAGAAAGTCAGAGATTGGAGCAAAATATAACGGCTGAATTGGCCCTTTTAGAAAATATTTTTGTACAATCAAATTGGTCTCAATGTTGTTTCAATGTACTGTGATACGTTTCAATACAAATATTATCTGAGTTAGAGCTTATATTTGTTTTCTTCTCATGTGGCATGCTTTTTCAACCACATGAATGCAACGTTTCAAGAGGAATAGAACAGAGAAGATCAGCCTATACAGGAATGTAAAAACTCAATTTATTCAGTTACAGGTCACTTTCCAAGTAAACCGAACCGAGTTGTATTTTTATTCTAAAGACAGTAGACAACAGTTTTATTGGCACTCAAAGTGAATAATGCCCTTTCAGAGAGGCTTAAGTCTCAGGTTTAAGGGCTCCGTAAAGAACTGAAGGACCACAATGTGAATGCAGCTGCCTATTCAGTACCTCAGCCCCCCAGACAGTCCCTAATGCTGCCCCCTACCTTCCAGCTCTGAAGGAAGCCCCAGCAGACCCAAGCCCCCCCCCCCCTCCTGCTGCGGCACGCCGGGCTGGCCTCGGCAGCTGTTAGGCCAACTGAGGCAGGAGGGGCTGCAGGGAGACAATGCAATGTGACTGAACTCATTATGTTTGTGAGTGTGTGTGAGCGTGTGTCACTGACTCTCTTCCCCCTTTTACAATTTTGGGTCTTTTTACGTGTTAGTAATATATCTTGATGTGATAAACAGACAAATGCACTCCTTTGTGCACCAGTCAATCCTTAACTTAAATTCAGATTCAGAATACTTTATTGTGCATTAAAAGTACATATAATGGAAATTATGAATAGAAAGTGAAATCATACGTAATCTAGAGGGTCTTGAACATATGATCCTCAGTGATTGCAATATTAAAAGTCTCTTCTCTTGTTTCTTGCAAATGGAGCTGCTGTAAAAATCTTGATCTGACAATGATGAAAGTATGTTTGCATCATACAGTACTGTACACAGGAAAACCAAATACCCATGAAAAAGTGACATAATAAAATAAGCCAAACGCCAAGGATACTCATGCAAACCTCTGAAAAGGTATTTCGATTACATATAGTATTGTTGCAAAATACATTGTTGAGAAGAGCAAACTCTGGATATGGTTCATGGTGTGTATCATCACCACTGACTGCAACAGAGCCCCCTGCTGACAGGTCTGTGAACCGGATGGACATCAGTGTCTGTTGGACCTTCATCTAACAACAGTGTCAACATGTGTCTCAGTAAAGGAAGATCAAAGATACTGCAATGTTGCATAAATCTGGTGGTATTCTGACATTTTCTTATTATTAATACATCCTATAATAGTCCATACTCAAATATGTATGCTTATATGTTCATTCTAATTATCAACAGTTTACCTTGCTGTGATATCTTGTTTTATGAGTTACAATATAACTTTATTTTTGTATTACTTTTTTTTCAACCTCGTGCGAATCTGTGCTGTCCTGTTTTTCACTCTCACTCTGTTGCTGCTTTTCCACCACACTTTAAACTCCTGAATTTCCCCACGGGGTTAATAAAGTTCCATCTTATCTTATCTTAATAAGACCAAAATCAACAACTGTCTTAATTATTTCCAATCATATTGTGTGTAGCTATTAGTAAAGCCTATTATTGAAGTAAATAAAAAAATAAAATAAAAATATATACAAGTACTTTATTTTTTAAACAAGGCTCAGTATTTCCCTTAATAAAGTGGGCACTGTAGGTATCAGAAAAGGTTAATGAAACAGGAGAGATTGCACATTTGTTAGGGACTATTTTCAGAAGCGGCTTAATACATTCTGTGCTCTAAGATATATCAATTTAACATGGCTTGCTGATTCTTAATAGTTTTTGCACGATAATATAGTTATACGGCACAGAGGAATAAGATACATCATGATTTTGATACAGAGGTAATACTTGTTAGTATCAATACAATGTTGGTTTTGGTCTTTTCTGAGGAAATATTTTGAATATATTTCAAGCTTTATTCTGTACGGTCTTTTTGTAATGTGTATTACACATTTTCTGTTTGTACATATGTAAGACATCCTTCATCATTTCTAATTTAAGATAACTTGAAATACACCATCATTGAAGACGGGAGAGTGCAGCTCTTAACAGAGATGGATTAACACATTCAGATCACTATGTCCACTAGAGCACTTTCTATAGTCACAGGAAGGAATATTACTTCTGTTCTGTTTCAATAAATCAGAGGTTTATTTAACCTGTTGAAACTTTTTCATATTCAAGTGTTGATGTTTGGAATGTAAAATAAAGTAAATCAGACAATGACAACTTATTCAGTTACATGTATTTCAAAATATCTAACACCTTGTTTAGCTTTCAGACATACAGACCATATAATGGTCAGGTGCGGAAATCCACTGACCATTACAGTTCATGTGATCATCTCCAGACATTGATGCAACTACAACTTATCCAAGAACATAAAACAAAAATCAAAGATCTTTGCATATCGAGGCTTTAAATGTGGTGTAGGCTTAATAAAAAATGCTAAATTCAGTAGCAAAAGGGGAAACTAAAATCTTCTTTCTTTATCGATGTACAATGTAACCCCACAGACAGTAATTCCATCAATAAAATGTTTCTAATAATACAATTTTTAAATCTTACAACAAAAAACCTGTTGAGTACTATCAAAAAGTACAGCAACCAGCGGTGGAGTCCAGAGGAACTCAAGTGTTCCTGCACCTGAAGGCCATGTATGTAGTCATACAACAACATCTCTGTTTGACACTTTTTTGCTATAATGCTGGCCGTCCATTCAGTTTGTCATGCATAAGAGAAATAGCTCCGCCTGTAAAGTCTCTGAGAACCTGCACCGTCTCCCTCTGGAAGCTGCAGCGACTCGCGCACAAACTCCTGCTGAGTCTCTGCCAGCTGCTGCACCGACTCGGACAGAAGCTCCAGGGAGCGTGAAACCGTCTCCAGCAGGATGTTGGTGGCATGCTGCTCTTCAAGGCTCAGCGATGCATTGTGTAGCAGGTTGTCGCTCATGTTCTGCGAGGGCTGACCTGGCAGTGGAAGCGTAGGGGTTGTTGGTGCTGCTGCTGGGCCGGAAGACGTCGGAGGTTGTCCTTGTTTTTGGATGCCATTGTTTCCTTGGTGAATCTCTGTTGGTTTTGTGGAAGGAAGCACATCTTCCCTTTGGTCGTCATCTGAGTCTCCTAATGCAGCGTCAACATCTTGAAGTAAAGAGAAAAGGCTTGTCAGTGTTTTCTTATTCTGAAAAAACATAAATCTGTACTTCAAAGAAGAAACTCACCTTCTGTTGCAGGAATCTCATACTGCACATCATAGGCAGTTTGTGAAGAGTCCTCTGCAACATTCAAAGCATTTTAATGAAACAGTTTGAATGCATTTCTCCACAGGAACTTATTTAAGGGGACCCATTTTACTCATGTTCAGGTTCATATTGGTATTTTGTGCCTGTACTGTGACATGTCTCCATGCTTTAATGTTCAAAAAGCTCTTTATTTTTCTCATACTGCCTGTGCTGCAGCACCTCTTTTCACCCTCTGTCTGAAACCAGAGCCCAGTCTGCTCTGATTGGTTAGCTGGCCGGCTAAAAATTCCAACAATTTGTTTGTGTGTCTGTGTCAGTTTATGAGTCATCCATATGCCACATATTTGTATCCAGTGAGAAAATGCATCCTATTTGCCTTTGAGAAGAGGGTGACGTGGATTTGCTCTGAATAATTTGGTGTGTGGATTATGTAGACATATGAACTTGCTCTACTGGAACTGATAACTCTCCTGTTATCTCCATCAGAACAACCTTCTGGATCCGCACCAGTCTGGTTTCAAGGCAGGTCACTCCACAGAAACTGCCCTCCTTGCTGTCTCTGAGGAACTGCACACTGCTAAAGCAGCCTCCCTCTCCTCTGTCATCATCCTGTTGGACCTGTCTGCTGCATTCGACACGGTGAATCATCAGATCCTCCTTCGCACTCTCCAAGAACTTGGGAGTTTCCAGCTCTGCACTTTCCATTCTCACCTCCTACCTCAAAGACCGCACCTACAGGGTAACTTGGAGAGGGTCCGAGTCCGATCCCTTGTCAATTAACTACAGGGGTCCCTCAGGGCTCTGTACTTGGTCCCCTCCTCTTCTCCTTGTACACAAACTCGCTCAGATCTGTCATTAGCCCGCATGGTTTTTCATACCACTGCTACGCTGACGACACCCAATTAATTCTGTCCTTTCCCCGCTCAGAGACCCAGGTCGTCGCACGCATCTCTGCTTGTCTAGCGGACATCTCTCAGTGGATGTCTGCTCACCACCTCAAGCTCAACCTTGACAAGACTGAACTGCTTTTCCTTCCGGGAAAAGATTGTCCCACTCTTGACCTAACAATCAACATCGGCACCTCTACTGTTTCCCCGACTCAGACTGCAAGGAATCTGGGTGTGACCCTAGATAACAAACTGTCCTTCACTGCAAACATTGCTGCTAGTGCTACAACCCGCTGCTGCAGATACAACCCGCTGCTGCAGATACACGCTTTATAACATCAGGAGGATACGTCCCCACCTGACCCAGAAAGCGACGCAGGTTCTGGCCCAGGCTCGTCATCTCACGCCTCGACTACTGCAACTCCCTCCTGGCTGGTCTACCTGCTTGTGCCATCCGACCTCTGCAGCTCATCCAGAATGCAGCGGCTCGTCTGGTCTTCAACCTTCCAAAATGTTCCCACACCACGCCGCTCCTCCGCTCACTTCACTGGCTTCCAGTTAATTCTAGAATCCACTTCAAGACAATGGTACTTGCGTACCATGCTGCGAATGGATCTGGCCCTTCCTACATCCAGGACATGGTTAAACTGTACACCCCAGCACGTGCACTCCGCTCTGCATCGGCCAAACGACTCGCTGCACCCGCACTGCGAGGGGGACCCAAGTTCCCATCAGCAAAAACACGGTGGAATGAGCTCCCCATTGAAATCAGGACAGCAGATAGCTTGCACATCTTCCGGCGCAGACTGAAAACTCATCTCTTAGATAGAATTACTAACAAAGAATTGCTAATAAAGCACTTATATACTAAGAACTTGAAATGTTTTAGCTCTATGAAACCTGATGTACTTATATGATTCTGTTTTCTCCAAGTTTGTATCTTGTTGGTCGAATGCACTTATTGTAAGTCGCTTTGGATAAAAGCGTCAGCTAAATGCAATGTAATGTAATGTAATCTCCGCGACCAGACTCGGATATGAGGTAGAAGATGGATGGATAGATGAACTTCCCTGATGTTTAGAATTAACTGAAGGTGAGTAAATAGTGACATATGATTGTTTCTGACACTTACTCATTGTGTAGGACATTGGTGGGGGCATAGATGCCCCGTCCAACCCGCCATTAGGAGAACTCTGCATTCCAATAATGTCCTCCTCTTCCATTTCTTCTTCCTCCTCTGGCACATCATCGTCATCTCCCAGAGGGCCAAAGTCTCCGGAGCTCTGGTCTTCCTCGTCCATCTCCAGAATCTGGAGCACTATTTTTTCCGTCTGATTAAGGTCTCGGGAGAGTCGAGAGTTGAGGCCTCTGTTGGGCACTGTCCCTGACCGCATGGCACCCACTTTCCGCTTCGTGTCACACTTTAGATCGGACCATTTCTTGATGACCTCGATGATCTCACGTTGGCACTCCCCGATCTCATTGACACGGGCAGTAATCTCTGCCCATGTGCGCTTCTTTATGTCTGTTGGTACACCACGATTGAATTTGCCTTTGGGGGACAAAACAAAATGACCTAAGCACTTGCCTTAAAATGATATTGCGTCAGTGATCAGATCTCATTAACATTGTATTTCTCACAGATTCACTGTAATGTTCACTTTTATATGACTTAACCATTGTATTGGTTACTTGGTTTAATGTTTTTGATTAACAAGCTACTAGGCAATCATCTCCTTTCCAGGTACTCAGACCTCAGTGTTATTCTTTCATCTGAATGAAATACGCACTTACCCACAACAACCATACGATGCTTCCTCACTTCGTCCAGCAGTATGTGGACTTCACTGAAAGAGAAGCGAGCTTTTCTTTTCTTGAAGCGAATAAAACTGTCTTGGTTGTAGAATATTGGTGAAGACATCCTCCCCACACAGTGTCAATTGGTGTCCAGCTACTGTGTAGTCTCTGCTGTGCTTCCACTTCTCCTGCTGTCTGATGACAGTTAACAACAAAAAGCATGGGAGTGTTAATTATGTGATGTATATGAATGTGCTCATGTGTCACAAATATATTGATTCTTAAACTATACCTGCATTTATAAGGTTAGTAGTATCGCTCAGTGACAGCGTTACACTTGTTCGTGCTTAACAGCTTAGCAATAACCGTTCGTGCCGATGTATTGAGTTGATCAATATAGATAATACATTAATATTATCAACACTTTTACTGAAACGAACTTGAATACATATGTCTAAGTGGTCTCATTTCGTTAAACAGGAAATGGAGCAAGTTCTGCGCGATGACAACAATGTATGTCTGCTAGCCGTCAGAGTGAATGGACAATGGACGATGCTATCGACGCTTAACAAACGCGACAGCCTAGTTAGCTAAAGAGCACTCGTAGTTAGCATTACACACATATAATACCTTGATTGCCACATTTCCATGATTATTTTGAACGAGTATCGGTTATTAAATGTCTCTTATATAGTGCAACTTGCACTTAATATAACACATAGCACACACTAGGTTAGCTCTCTCTGCAGCAGGATAACGTTAGCTAACGCAACACAAGACTCACAAATGACTAATAAAGCGACAACCTGACGTTTCCTGACTTCCAGACGAATACCTTAATGCCAAACATAGTTATTGAGATGGTGAACATACCCCAAAGTCAAAGAAGTTGGGGTTTGGTCCAGAAACGTAATGATAAACTTCCCTATCTTCAAGATAGCTAATGTCAAGCTAGCCAGAATGCAGCTAACGCTACTCAAAAGATGTCCGGTTACCCTCAGGTAATAGCTAACAAAAGGCGCTGGCTAAAACAAGTATTGATGAACACATTGATCTTAGTATGGATATAGTTCATGTCGTTTAGGTGTTTTTACATGTAAAGTTTAACAATAACAACGATATATCTAGCACCTTTGCTAATTGAGTTCACTTACTTTCGTTTCTTAAACATTTCCCGTTGTGACATAATGCTTTTATTTTGAAGGAGCACGCCTTTTCTGGTAACGTAGGCTGTCTTGACTTCTTGACACGCACATTCACACGCACATGCACGCAAACACACATTCAAACACACTTTCAAAGCATTTTAGGAATCAGATAGACTACAAGCCTGGAAGAAAAACATTACGGTTGGATGGATAGATAGCTACGAATAGTATTGTAAACATAGCTAAGAACATTTATTTAAGTACTCCAATCCAAAAAGTACTGTTCTTAAGTACAATTTTTAGAGACTTGTACTTAACTTGAGTATTTCGAATGTTTGCTACTTTGTACTTTCACTACATTTCAGAGGTAAATAGTGTAGTATGTATTACTACATTTCTTAAAATACTATACAGATTTGGATTAATGATGTGAAATATAATCAAGTCTTAAATCAGACTTTAGTTCCACCTGGAGTAAATTCACAAGCTACCCTGCAGTACACTAAGTCATTATAACTAGATGCACCTTCACCAGCTTTGATAACACTTTAATGATCAATCATTATAATAAAAACATATCATATAATATTCTGAAATGGACCAATCTGCATAATGAGTACTTCTATTGATCTTTTGATGCAAATACTTTTACTTGAGTAACATTTTGATTGCAGAACTTTTACTTGTAACAGAGTATTCCTACACTCTGGTACTACTTGTACTTAATTACAAGATCTGAGTACTTCTTCCACCTCTGGCTACGAAATATCAGGCCCACCATTGAAGCACTCCTTTGAGCAAACTGTCAACACTAAATATAGGCTTTAACTCAATAATTGAGCAAAAAAAATATTGTTTTGGTCAAACTTTCAATTCAAAATACTGTCACTGTCAATCAGCTGGGCCAGAACAGATCCCCAATTTAACCATAATGACATTCAATACATGACTGACTAATGATTCAAAGTATCCCGAAACATTTGCTAATAGTGCACCAATAACAACACACATTCAACATACCATTATTCCAAATATGGCACAGGGATTTATTTGACCAAGCATTATTAATTACAGTTTAATGACTGTGGCTAACTACATGGTTAACAACATTTAATATTGGCATCTTTGCTATTGGCTGCATGCATTAGTGGCATAAACATGATATATAGAGAGATATATATATAGATATATATATGATCAATTTACAGATTGTGCTGGCATTATTTGGTGCAGGCAATTTGAATAAGTACACAGTACAGTGATAACTAACAGTTAGTGGAACATAGAGAAAGCAATGGCCAAGTTGTACTACCAGCATTACATATTACATTTTAAATATGAATTGCCCAACAAAACATTGTCTCTTGAGTTGTTGTTACAAATTACTATTAGTAAAGGACACTTTACTGACCCATATGCGAGTGTACAAATTATAAAACCCTGATCCGTTTGAATTAGGCTGCAGTGCAAGAGTACCATACTTCACATATCAACCTTAAGTTGTTTGATTTTGTCTCATATTGTTGTTTTTGAACAATAATCTCCTGTCAATGGGTTTGGGGCTGGTTTCACAAAGATCATTTCATTGTGGTCTAATAAACAGTTGGACTGACAGCCATTTCTATACACTGTGTTGTTGCTCCAATTAGAAAGGGACAACTGCACCCTATGATCTTTATGAGTAAATGGGAGTTGGTGACCTCAAGTGATTCTCAGAATAGCTCCATCCTACTCAGCCACAATAACTGAACATAGGTTTATTCCCCGTTTGAACTTTAAGTGGCATTATAGGTGTTAGCAGAGGTGTCATCAGCTATAAGTGCTGTGTTAGCACATTGCACGGCGGCAGACATTAGCTAGCCAGTGAACACACAGAGACTTGCATGCATGCGGAAACTAGCTCAGTAAACAAAGCACAGAGACACTGGGATTAAAACACACAGAGGAGAGTGACCTCATTCTCTGCCCAGGTAGACAAAACGACACACTATCTTTACATAGCTAGTAGTCCTTTGCAGCTCTGAATGCTTTATGGTTTGCCATAACAAACTTAAAGGCCCTGCACATCCTCACAGATGTTTTCACTTAGTGTGAAGGGTTGGGTAGTCCTCTGTTCTGGGTGAAATTGGTTGGAGCTTTTTCTTAAAATTGTCTCAGAGGTCACAAAAGTTCATGCAGTGATATTAACACTAAATGTAAAAGAAAATAACAGCAGAGATGAAGATGCCAATTGAGCAGTCTATACACACCCAGACTGTTCTTAGAGGGATATTATCTGGGAAAGATGGAAACTTCTTTGTAGGTGGTCGTTGAAACAAAAAACATGGGCAAATAAGTCACAGTTTAGGATGTAAGGCCATTTTATCCCAGCAATTTAGCATTTCACAGGCTCAAAACAAAACGAGTGTCACAGATCCTTTTAAAGCTGCGTTCCTACTGTATGGAACGGCTACAACAATCCTTTCAACAGCAACCGCACAGAGGACCGTCTACACTATGCCAATTGTAAAGGACACGATACACCTTTGATGATTCTCCCTGACAGATAAGTGGTCTGCAGCATTTTAACGCCGCTTGGAATCTTGGCTGAGGTGCTAATAAAAAGAAATACCATGAAACAGGTACTATCCATTACTGAGCAAAATGGAAAACCAAAACCGAGCAAGTTGAGCCATAGCACGCAGTGGAACGCAGCATAACATACACTATGTAAAACTAATACCAACTCTCGGTTGCTGTAACAATACAAATACTGGCAAATTCTGTCTTTTGCATGTATAATGGAACAGTGAACACAACACTTGCATTCCATTAACATTCAAAGGACACCTGTGCACACAGGGGATTTTCTGAGAGAAAAAAAAACAGGTTAGTAGGGATGGTTGCGAAAATGTGTTGTACTGTGTAGAAAAAAAAAAAGTGGTTCCATAAAACAAGCAGGAGAGCGGCATCTGGACTCAAGAGTACATGGTCAACTGAAGCCACTGAAAAGACAAGAGAGAAGGGCTTTAACAATGAATGATTACCATCAACACAATAAAATGTTAAAAAAAAAAATGTAGACTCCAGTCAAAATAATTTAAAATGTGTTTACCTCTTGAACATTGACTTTGATTGTCCCACTGTTATCTTTATCCAGGGTTTTGAAGGCACCTGAATCAGAACAGTTGTTAGGCATCTTCAGTCAATCATTCTTATCATATAGAAAAAGCTGCATAACCAATAAATTGATTTAAGGACTGCTCTTTCAAACTTACGGCACATGGCATCCAGCCTCACAAGGCAGCCAATGTAGTTGTCAAAATCCATGTTCCCACTTTCATCGCTGTATCTGCGAATGATCATGTTGAACAGGTAGTCGTTGAGGGGGAAGCCTGAGAAAGGGATGAACAGATGAAACGTTGTCTATTATTCTGAAACAGCTTTACATAGGTTTCTGTCCTATGAAACGACTATGCAAATCATTTTCTGTTTCAAACAAGCACAGCCACATGACTGTTGACAGTCAATCTAAAGGTCTTTTGATCATTCTTAATGCATCCAAGATGACCGCTTTACATGTGGCTTCTATCACTGGTATTGGAAATTCACCTGCAGCTGTGAAAGCGCTGGGCAACTCATCTGCACCGATGACACCGGAGCCATCTGCGTCATAGGACTTGTACACGCCCTAAACAATTACAGTACAAAAGTATTTAGAGCACATAAGCCATGAAAGATTCCTAGGAAGTTGATTCACAACCTCAAGACCAGTTGACCAACAATTATTTCTCTCCAACAACCTGAATGGCTGTCAATATGGAGGTATATGGTCTGCATTTATACGGTTCTTTTCTAGTCTTTCAACCACTCAAAGTATTTATTCAACACATTCATACAATATAAAGTGCCAGTTGCTCACCAGGAGCGATAAACATATCACACTCAGAGTCTTTTAAATGGACACTTCAACATGTTGACTGCAGGGTTTGGGAATCAAACCAGCAGCCTTCTGGTTGGTGGACAACAACTCTACCACCTAAGCCAAAGTTCTAAGATCAAGCTGATACTGTATATAAATTGTTTTAAAATCAAGTTTCTAATGTGTTCACCGTTCCTTGAGATGTTTCAACACTGTTCACCGTAAAGTTACTGTACAGAAACATAAGGGATAGTACAAATGAAATGGGTCTGCTGTACTTGCCTGCCATTTCTTGACATTGTTCCAGAGGTGTTTGAATTCATGAAAGCCGAGTTTTCCAGTGCTGTCACTCTGAAACAGCATTAAGGACAACAGACACGTTTTTCTTCTTTGGCTCCAGCTTAGACAAACAGTGGCACTACGTGTGGACATGCTGTATTTGCACTAGGCGTGTATTCATGTGGTATACATTTCACAGTAGGGAGAGAATATTAACTTTTTTCTATTACATATTTGCAGGTGAGGTTTACTCTACAAGTAAAATGGATCACTTATTCACCTTTACATAGTCGTATTAGTTGCAATTTATATTGGTTATATTGGTTTGCAAAATCTTAAAAAACAAGGTCCTGTGAAAAATGGTTGTGTGTGCTTTCATTTGAAAATCTTAAAAAACATTTTAATCATTGTAATGAGTATTACATACCTGAACTCTGTAAAGAACATCCATCTGTTTGCATCTTGCAAATTATTTATCTATATATCATATTCCATTTACTTTACATTTCTTTTGTTTTATTTGTTTATGTCCTATATATTTATGTTACATTGTTGGAGGAGCCTGTGACTTTAGTTGTTAATTGCCATATCTACACTGTAGCTACTGTGCACATGACAATAAAGCCTTGCAACTTGAAATCTTGAATCTCTCCTTTATACTCTGCCATCTATGTCAACAGAACACACAAAGCCCACTTATGAAATAAAGGATACATCCATGACGGCCACCATGCTTCTACAGGACTCAATGCTGAAACCATCCGTCTTCAGGTCTCCATCTAAAATAGGATAAAAACATGCATTCACCATGTGGTAAATCTCTTATAAAGACACATAACGTTTGTAAATGACAGAATCA